ACGAAGCCGAAACGCAAAAGCACGAAGCCCAAATCCTCAAATGGCCGGACAGCTTAAAACCCTCAACCCTGAGCAGTGTAGACAGCTAAACTCTGAAAACCCTGAACCCAGTGAACATAGGCCCTGAAACTTCTAAAGAGAAGAGCCCGTAAGCTCGAACAGCCGAGAAGTCAAACACCTGAGCCCTGAACAACCTACTGTACCAACCCGAAGCCAAAACAAAGCAGTCTAAAAACCCTGCGGGTGGCGGCCAAGAACCATCTAAATGCTAAAAGGAGGCACGCACGCGGCAACTCAGCCGGCCTGAAGTGGCAGGAACACTACATTGTCTGTGCAACTCTAAGCGCTTCAAGCGCAAGACCTCAAGACAAGAAGCCCTGAATCTGAAGAAGCCTAAACATAGAGCAGCTTGAAAACCAGAAGCCCCCAGTTTTTGGAAGTCTAAACTCTGAAGCCTTCCTAACAACCCCGAAGTCCTGAAAACTGGCAGCAGGATCAGCCCTCCACCAATCAAATTGATACGGTTTAGTGTTTATTGTTTAGGGTTTAGGGTAATGGCTAGGGACTCTAGATACTGGACACCTACGCATACCTACGCCTCTTCATCAACACTACCAACCATAATGACACCCTTGAAGACGAGGCTGAAAACATCCCTTGCCTTGCAGTCAAGCATCTTCCCGTCCACTGACGTTGAATCCATTTATCCTGAATGTATGAATGGTGACTATTCAATATGACGGGGTGGGCGCGGGGGGGGGGGGGGGGCAAACATTTGGGAGTGTGAAGAGCTAGGATGATGTTACATGGGCCACACGGAACAGCATGGGATTTATCTACCCTTCTAAGCCCTAACAAGCCCCTGCCAGCTCACTGAACCTGCATATGACCTATCCATGCACTACATCACCCCGTATAGTCAGAGAGCGTCGCTGTTGAACCGAGAGCTGCTACCAGTAATCAGAACGGTGCTAGATTGCCATTGGCTGATGTCGAGGATGAAGGTCCGTTTGCTGTTTACCTTGGTCTAACTCGCACCAATTTTGTCCATGCTTGCTGCGATTCAGACCCGTGCAACTAGCCAGTGGCCGCTTGTGCCCAACGTCTGCCAGTCCTGCTACCCCAGAAACTGCAAAGTGCAGTGTTTCAATTCACGCCCAGCTGTCAGAAGGCTTTGATTCTCCACCATTCTCCACCCATTTCACAGTTTCATGCTCGCCCACCAAGCTGCCACAAAGCAAACACAGCATGGACAACGGGCTAGAACAATCCAGCTGCGCGGAGGCTCCAGGCTATGACATCTCCCAATGTAATGCAGCTCTTGTTCAAGACCGACGCCAACATCCATTTGCAGATCTGTGTGTGCATCCTACATACCAAAGCCGGCCGGCACTACGGAGATTTGGAGCCAAGGTTCAAATCATAACCGATGCTCCTGGCGGCTCAGCTATCACAGCTCTGTGTTGGTCAGTTTGGTCAGTCTGGGGAGATAGTTGCTCCAACTAAGGTCTGGCGACTTCGCAGACTCCAGTGCTCGAGGGCACCGCAGGAAATTTCCTTGCTGCCTTCTTTGACCTAGTTACCGCATGCTTTTAGACAGGAGCACCAGGGAGCATTGTGCACTTCGACCTGGCTTTCGCAGGAGACCCAGCAGTTGCTACGATTTCTCCAGTGGATAATAGCTTCTTTGCACCCTTTCCCAGCTTATACAGGCATATATGTTTATATATACGGTTAACAGGCATACAGAGTTAGATAGGGTTATATAGGTGATTTAGGGGTTTTCGTGGGGCATATACCCTACACCCTAAACCCATAGGGTTACATAGGGTAATATAGGGTTGTATAGGGGTATATAGGGTTATATGGTTGAAGTGAAGAAACTGAGGAGATGTGTGGCCCACAGGCTGCGCAGGAGGCTGTCGAATTTTTTCTGTGTGTGGCAGATTCAGTGCTCACAACTGCTATTTTTACCACTATCACCATTATTACTATATATTACTATAGTTGTTATTACCATTATTACTATTAGATCAATTGTTAGTATTGTTACCATTATTTTTGCCACTATGATAATTACTATTACTACTATTACTCCTATAGCTACGATTGCTACTTTGTCAGACAACAGGGTCAAAATCACTGGGGAGTTCCGAAAATGGGGGACCATTTTAAGACATTGTATAGTCAAACTTGCTTGGACTTGCAGAAGAGCTCTCTTAACAGACCATGAGTGTGATTCTTCTGGATGTTGTAGATGCTTGTTGCGGAGCCATGAGTGCTCTTCAATTGTGTCGGTGTTGCTTTGCCCGGCGACACTCCTAAGAAGCCTGGATGCAACCAAAAAGCAGTCTTGGGAGCCCATATAACAAGGATTCTCGCATATTAGGGTCTATGCTGGGGGCCCCTCGTTATGGAAGCACCCTAGAATCTCCATGCTTGTCTGTACATCCCGAGAGAAGGCCTACGTGTGTATCCGTACAATTCCTCCCTAAAGCCCTTTCATAGGGTCTCTATTCCCTAAAGCCAAACCCCTAAAGCCTAAACCCCTTCATTGCGCCGGGATGTTCGTGTGGCAAGGGATTTGGTCTGGATTGTTGGGGGGATGATAAGACGAGGCCTCCGTAGCAGGATGCCAAGCCTCCGTCAAGTCAGTCGTAGACTGAGTGCAGTGCAGCAAACTTGGTTTATGGCCCTGCAGCAGCATATGAATGTCCACTCTAACAAGCACTCTGCCTGGGCCTCAAGGTTTTGGACAAGGGTGAGATGGGCCTGCAGAGCTGCATCTCAACGACATGCGAGAAGGGTGAGACGGCAAGAAAGAGAGGCACAGGCCGTTATGGATGTTGTTGAGCCTCAAAGTGAAGCTGTGGATTCATCTCCTGAGCGGGAGGATCAGCCCCTCATGGCCCTGAGGCTCCACTCCCTGATGATCCTGGGCTTCAGGCTGATGGTGACGAAGGCCGAGTGGGAAGAGTGGCAGAGGACCTACATGCACCTGCTCGAGATGCTGGGCAGGATTCGTCGACATGCGACCGAGCCGTGGCAAGTCATCAACCGGATGAAGGCTTGGTTGAACGGGACCCCGAAGATGGAGAGCAAAGGGATCACCAGGAAGCCTTGCGCATGGCAAATGACCCCAGGACCCAGGCTGCATTTTTGCCGGAGATGGATGTGGAAGATCATCCAGACCACACCTTCTTGATGGCATATGCCACCGACTTGCCGCCATGGAGGAGAAAAGCCAATCCCAGGGATCGCTGGATGATGCCATCTGGAGGGGACTCTGAACACAGGAGGCGGTACAGAGATGACGGAAAGAGAAGATGGCGGGAGCCTTCACCGCCACGACCTAAGGGCAAGGGGAAGAAGGGCATCGGGCAACATCGAGTACATGCAAAACTCAGGACCCTGAGGAGGAGCTTGGGGTGGTTCATGTTGAAGAGGAGGAGAAAAGGAATGAACAAGCCAGTGCCAGTGGAAATATGCCCATGAAGGATGAGATCACCTTGGAGGGAGCCCTCTCCCTGTGGCGGGACATCCTGGACTACGAGCACGAGCCCAACACGCTTGGCTACCCCCAATATGATGTCAGGGACAGGGTAGCCAACACGTCGATTGAATGGACTGGACCAGAAATTACCACAATGCTTGTGGCACACCAACAGCTGCAAAGCCTGGAATCGGCGCAGATTGCTGAGATCTTGCAGGCTCGAATCGAGGAGTTGAGAGGTCAAGAGAACAGGGATGCTGAAGAAGAAGGGGATGACAACTCAATGATGCAGTCTTCAGCGAGGGTACATTACAGTGATGATGGCATCTCCACCTATGGGCTTGAGCTACAGTTCTTGACCGGCGAGCTGGCGGCTTTGCCAAAGGTGAGGGCGCAAGTACGTGCAGAGGTCCTTCGAGGCTTGTTAAGCAAAAGGTATGGGAGGCATGCCGGGCGCGGATGCATGGGCCAAAGGGCTGCAAGTTTGGAAGCGGCTCTGGTTGCATATGGTGACCAAGATGGCGAAGACGATGGCACAGAAACGAAAGAAGACAAGGAATGGTGCCACAAGTGGTGGACTAGGCTGCTTCGGCCCATCGTCGAAAAGGAGAAGCTAGCTGCCAGATTAGGGTGAGGACTACATCTGTGGAGGTTACCATGATCGAATCTCAGGAAACTGAGAGTGATCGAGGAAAGGATAGTGCAGCATAAGACGAAGTCTCGGCCTTGGTGGAAGAGGAAGAGCAACTCCGACGAGAAGTCCGGCAACAACAGTTGGAATTCGAAAACGAAAAGTGGCAGTATGAGCTAGCTCTGCATGAAGAAGATCTCCGAATCCAGCAGGAACATGATGACTTAAACTACGGGGCTATGCGGGAAATGCAAGCAAGCCGTGCGGCACAAGAGTGGGATGATTGGGTCATTTGGGACGCAATGAGGAATCCCCCGCCGCCGCCGAAGAAGCAAAGGTTGGTTACGCATGTCCGGCTTGAGGCGGAGAATGTCATTCAGGAGCGCTTCGGCTTGATTACTACGCCTGGCGCGCCGGTGACAATGGGGCTCACTTGGTCCATTGCTGAAGACGACAACCCGGAGCCTGTGAGCACGCCAGCCAGAACTTCTGCGGCGACCCAAATGATGACACCACCGAGGGTGACGTTTGAGGCAGGTGAGAGGGGCAAGGGGTCAAGATCGCTGATAGCGATTGATGACCTGAGTGAATTGCTGCTGAGTGCTGAGGGAACCTCTGTTTTTGGGGCTTGGAAGACTGGTGGCTTCCAGGACCAGCAAATCAGGGAGTTGTACGGTGAACGCGTCCTTGAGAGCTTCATTGCACATCGTTTGATGGATTCCCAGGAAACGGAAATCACGGCTGGGCATTGATCTAATCTGACCGAACCATCACCTGAGCCTCAGGCTCTGTGTGTCGTGCAGATGCAAAATAGGTGCGCAAAAAAAGCCCTTCATTGGTATCCTGATTATTCTCATTGCCACTGGCGCTTGGCAGGCTGCGTCGTCAGACAAACGAGGCTTTGAGCTTCGATTCGCTCGCGCGGCAGCTGAAAACTATGAGGCCGCGAGGGCCGAAAAGGGACCGTTAGAGGGGTTTCTGGGGCTACGCCCTGAACCCTAAACCCTATACGGTTCAGGGTTTGGGGGGTTTGTGAGACCCTAGGGTTCCTGTTTCGAGTTTAAGGGCAGCTTGAAATCTACTTTGCGAGACCTTGGAGTTGCCATGGGTTGGGGAACGTATTGATAATATGAAGGGTTGCGCTAGCAGTATAATGCCCTTATGAAAGCAATAGAACATAATAGAACCGTTTATCTGATTCCAGGGCTCTTCCCAGTACGGGGCCGGGAGATTTTGCAGTGAGGGGGCCTGCTGCCCTTGACCAAGGACCTAGGGACACGTGAGCAATGGTCAATACTCGCGTATTAGGCATGAAGAGAAGGAATGCCGTGAGACGTAGGAGTCGCACAAAGAGCCGCAAAAGCGAGTAGGACCCCCCCCCCCAAAAGCGGTACCCCTCAATCTAGTCTTTCGTTGGTATTTTGGTTAGTTGATGGTTTCTCGAGTGTTGTATCTTGTTGTTGTCCATGTAGTTATCAGGAGTGGCCTGCACTGTAGCGTGAATTCATTTCGGTTTTCGAAGTGTGGTGCTTGTGATGAGTGGCATGTCAGTTGGACTCAGATTACCCTGTATGCGTCACAGCCAGGCGGGAGGGAAAAACATGTAACCTCGACTGTGTTTGGGCTGAACCCCGCAGAAACGCATTTCTTGTATCCTGCGCAAAAACCACCAGAAAAGCGTAGTCCCCCCCCAACTCGTCAAATGCAGATTGGCAGGGGATTATGGGGGTCCTCAGTACGGATTCTACGTGGACTGTTTCGAACAAGGCCTATCCTTAATAAACTTTAAACTCCGGGGCTATATTAGATTTACACTTGCAAGATGCCGAGTTGAGGAAGTTCTGTCAAGAAGAAACTCGAGTCAGTTTGAAGCACGTTTCTGGCGTTAAATCCTAAACCTGGGGTACTGCCTCACCTAGTAACAAGTAGCAGTCCATAATCAGGGGGATACTAGGCCATGTATATATATATATGCATATATAAGCTTTTTGCAGTTGCACTTATTATCAACTGTTACTGAGTGGGGGCAGTAGCCAATCTAAACCTGAATAAACCTGAAGCCCTTGAAGCCTGAGGCTTTCAAGATCTCCACAATTCGGCTGCTCACTCTCGAGCCACTGTACAGTACAACACAGGCTACTCGCCTGAAGGGGTTCAGGGTTTAAGAGTTTAGGGTTTAGGGAGGTTCAGTACGTTCAACATAGTAGTCGCGTATCAACTAGTGTCTCATTCGGTAGCAACCGACTTGCTAGGACTGCTTTAAGCATCGGCCAGTCGGGCTACTTCCAGGCGGCATACATCCAAAGCCTGTTGCAAAAGGGAGGTTGACGGGCAAAGAGTACCTGCACCCCGAGTGCAGCTTTTGTACCCAAGCTATGCCAAGAGGTTTGCTCCTTTCCGAAGGTGCGGCGCATGGGGGGGTGGGGGGTGTTCCTGTCAGCCCTGAATAATATGGTAGCTTCAATTGTCTCCATTCCTCTATATATTTCTGGGATCCGCTTTGAGATTCTGGGGTGATTAGTTACTTAGGCAACCTACTTATGAAGGGCTTCTATGGGATTATCATGGGCTTACTACAGGGTCCCTAAACCTTACACCCTAAATCATAAACCCAAAACCTTAAACCCTAAACCCTAAACCGCATGAGCTGAGGCCCGGATTGACACACCCAGCACGAGAGCTGAAGACCCAATCCCGCCTGAGGAGGAGCAGCCAAACTGTTCAAGGCGTTGCAATGCAACCTTATACCCTACTGCCCATAGAATGCCTGTGTATATAAATATGTATATGGATATAAATAGATAACTATATATATATATGTGTATGTCCCTATATATTCCTATACCGTCTCTAATTACATGTCCTGACAGAATCTCTACATCTCTATTAGATCTGTAGGTATCCTTATAGAGTCTCTATGTCTCCCTATACAGTCCCCATACATTGCTGATGTATTTTGTATAGAACCCCGAGATATCCCTATATCTCCCCACAGAATCGGTATAGATATGCCAAAGGCATGTTTCATGGATCAGATGAGCTCGATATTCACTGCAATTTACAAGTTCTGTCACTCGCAGTGGGGCTTGAATAAATTTGCTTGTACAATCATGAAGAGGGACGCCGTGGTTTAGGGTTTGAGGTTGGTGATCCCCATGTATCCCTGCTGGTTTGGCCTAGAGCTTGATTCAGCCAAGCCTAAAGACTCTGACAGGGACAAGAGAACAGAGCTGGTGTTTCTTAAAATAACCCCTACATATTCCGGAAGGGAAACCCCTATGACCCCCTTCAATCCCTAAACCCTAAACTCACCCCATATATATATATATAGACATATGTATATATATATATAGGATCCTCTAGGTCGCGGCCATTTTGGAATCTTGAACCCTAGACCCTCAACCCCACAGCTGGCAGGAGCCGGGTTTCCTGGAACAATTCTGGTGGCTGCCCTGGCTTGGTGGCTCTGCTCATTTAAGGCGTAATATTATGGTTATATTGGGGTTACATTGGGACAATGGAAAATTAGATGGAAACTACTGTGTAGGGCTCAGGTGTTAGAGTTTGCTGTGACCATTGATGTAGAGGGGCAGAGGCGCCGCGCACCATCGTACGTGGACGGCCTGAGCCTTGAGCTCAGGGTTGAGAGACGGCATGGAATTTCCCCACATCCCGGTCCAATCCCTACATTCCATAAACCCCTCAACCTTGCAGCTGTGCTGGGCTTGAGCCTCACCTTGCCTGGCTCAACAGTTCCACATTATAGGGATACCGGAAAAGAACGTGAAAACTACTATTTAGGGTTTGGGGTTTTTAGCTGGTGGTGAGTCTTGATGAATTCTGATGTCCTAGGTCCTAGATCCTTGCGGCATAGCAGGAACAACCAATTATTCAAGCATTTTGCAGGCCAGTACATCAGGCCTGCGTGGCCTAAGTCCTGTGTTTTTATGATTGGGATCTTTGTTTGAAGAGGTGCTTAGGACTCGGCTCAGGTTGCCTCTGATCTGTTGAACCTTTAGTCCCCCTTAAGTAGATAGAATATGGGGTATATGGGGATCTTATTATTACATAGGTCAGTAGTTAAGGGAGAAGAAACTTGCAGAACTCCAGGAACCCTGAACAATAAAGCCAGAACCAGTCAAATCCAGACCTTGGGATCTGCAGTGCCGGCAGCCCAACGCGCGTGTCGCATGCTGAAACAGTGTCTGTATATAGTATTAGGGATATATACAGGTTATACAGGGATAGTGGATACGAAAATGGAAATTACTATATGATTGTAGGGTCATACATCCCTAGTCGGCCCCCCGCCCTCTTTTGCGCTAAGCGAACCCCTCGAGCAAAGACATGGGTCAAGGCTCTGCACTGGCAATGTTCGCCTCTTGCCAGCAGGGAGTTTCTCCAAATAGGCGTGCTCGTAGCGGCCTTAGAGGACGTGAGGATGGAAGGGAGATGATAGGGGTCCCCTTACTTCCCATGAAATGTCGGGATCATGTTGACAAACTCCAAGCACAGTTCCTGTAGCAGCACGGAATCACTCATAGGTGGCTCAAGGCATCTCATGTCATCACGTGGCCATCCCGGCTCAATTAGCAAAATCAACTTGGTTCTTGAAAGCCTAACCCAGACCCCTGGGAGGATCTAAAAATTAGATCCCCTATATAGACCCATTACAACCCCTATATAATCCTTATATAATTTCCCATATGGTTCTAGGCGATCTAATTTTTAGATCCCTTTTCTGGGAAATCATATTCCAGTGTTCTGGCCAACACTAATCATTAAGCACACGCATAGAGCTGTAGCCTGCTAACTTGGAGATGTTGCGGCGTGGATGACCCGCATCAATGGCTGTGGCTTGGATGCAGCCGTTAGCCTTGGTATTCCACAATCCAAAATACGCTGCGGCAGTTTGGGATGCTGAAGTTCAGATGCGCACCTCAGTAATACAACCCCAATATAACCCTTATATGTACCTTATTATAAGATACTAGCTTCCATTTTCTTATCCATTGTCCCTATATAAGCCTAATATAACCCGAATATATACCTTATTATAAAATGGTAATTTCTATGCTTTTCCATTGTCCCTATATAGCCCAATAGAACCCCAATATACTGGCAGTCAAAAGCGGATGCTTGGCAAGGTTGAAAGTTGATGTGACTTGTCAGATTCCCTAACCTAGAGGGTTCTATTGGGGTTATATTGGGACAATGGATGGAAACTACTATAGCATGATAAGGTATATCTTCGGGTTACATTGGGGTAATATTGGAATAATGGAAAATAAAATGGAAACTACTATAGTAAAATGGGGGGATTGTAAGTTATCATGTTAGGGGCATTGCCAGCACAACCTCAGGACACCGCAGCCTCCGAAGTTCGGCCCGAGTCGCTAGAGGATCCTTGCCTGACACCAGTCACCTTACATGAGCTATTTGGGGGTTTCCCAAAATTTGGGGTACCAATTTGGAGGTCCCAATAATAAGGGCTATAGTATTTTGGGGTCTATATTGGGGTCCCCTTATTTTGGGAAACTACCATTTAGTCTAAACTCCTTAAAGGGGGTTAGATAGCGGCGCGTTATAGTGGGTATTGAGTGGGATACTAGGAGCTTAGACTACCGCTCACATGCGGTTATTATTTGCATGTGAAGATGTCAGCCCTTGAGGCAACAGAGCAGTTTGACGCCTCACTTCCTGGAAGTGTTGTCGCTGTGCCACCTATCTGGACGAACGAAGATGGCCTGGCCATTGCCAAACACGTAGACAAAGACTAATCCCCTCCCCGAATATGAACCCGCCCTAATATAGAATAAATACATAGTGATAGATTAGCGAACATTGAATTTTAGGGGGGTGGAGGGTTAGAATTTAAGGGATACCACGAAGCCAGTTGAAAGACTTGGGAGGAGGTATTTGGGGGCTTCCCAAAATCAGGGGTCCCCGTTTTGGGGGTTCCCAGTCCATAGCAGGTGTGAGAAGGTGTCCGGCATTCATGTTTAAGGTTTTGTTTATGACCACTTTGGGGCTTCCCAATGTTTCTGTCAGAGACGACCGCGGGGTGGAAGATTTGTGATCTGAATTTTGTCAGCACACGCAGGTAGGGTTTGAGAATGCGTAAGGCTTAGGGTTGGGGCCCACTACTACAACCAACAACTCCCAAACAGTATATAACCCCTATATAAACCCTATATAGCTCCTATAATTTGTACCTTTAGCTGTTGCGCAGGCAGCTTTCGAACCCAACCAGACATCCCAGCACCGCCGCCGCGGAAACCACCCCCGCTCCGCAATTCGACAATTGCACCCTGGGTTCTAGCGACTTGGCACATGTCTCTGCTTGAGATTTGACTGCTCCACGCATGGCTGCATTTGGCTGCCCACTTGCTTCCTGTTCTGTTGCCAGGCAGCTCGCCAGGCAGACATAGCACAGGCGAGGGAGGATGAGGCACCGAACTGCAGCAACATGCAGAACTTGGGAGCTTCACAATATCTAAATGGCCCGCTTCCTTATTCCACTTTCTAACTTTCTAGGCGCTGGAGACAGACTATGACGAGTATGGCTCTGGCGGGGGATCTCCGCGGTCTGCAGAAGGACTTGCTACTGCAGCAGTCGCCGTGCAATTCATGCGGAGGTAGTGAAAAGGTTGCGTCGAAACAGCGCTTCTTCAACCATTGCTTTTTGATCTTCGTTGTATAGGATGAGCCTCACACCCCCCAAGCATTGACGGAGAGCCTGCGGAAGTCACTCCTCAAATGCTCTTGACAACATTTTTTGCCGCGGCAAGCACTCGCCGCCAGATTGCTGTGAGCTGACAGAAAAGGGTGGTGGGAAGATCCTCACCGAATCGGTGCGGGCGGGGCGGAGTTCAACACACGCGTTTAAGCTCGTCCACAATCAGGCTGAGACCGCATACGCGTTCCCCACCAGCCGGTCAGGGAATCCACATAAACCTGCCGCAGCAGAGCCAGTAACATGCTTTTGAAAGCTCCTGCTTGTCTCAAGCGCTTCTTGAGACAGGATCTCAGCTATCAAGCACCCAGATGTCACAGGGTTCTGCTCTTGGATCAATGCCTTACAGCGCCACAGCAGCCATCAGTGATGCATTTCTGGTAGGCCAAGACTTTGCTGAACCAATTGCGAACCCCAGGCGTTGATAGTCAGCCACCTGTTGATCCAGATGCCAATTATGGTGGAGTTACCCTATCTCAGCTCGAAGAGTTCCTGGCCGTGCGCCGCTGGACTGAAATCATCTCCTTTTGGGCTGACTCCTTCTGTTGCTTAATCCCGCTTAATCCCTTCCCCCTAATGTTAAACCTCCTCACCCTATATATATATGTATATATATATATTATACATATATTAGATTTCCCAATGTAGGGAATTATAGAATATTGGGAATATTTAATATAGGGGGTGAGGGACTTTAATATTAGGGGGAGGGGATTGTCCATCGGCCATGGTAGCCTTTGGCTCGGGACTCATGCTGAGGCAAGGGCATGCGAACGGCTTGTGGCACCTTGCCAATGACGTTTGCCATTTGGCCCTTGGGCTTGCAATAAGCCTAGCTCACACAGATACAGCCTAAGGCGGCAGAGACAAAGCTGAGGCAGAAGAACACCCAGACAGTCACGTCATGTCGAGCCGCAAAGCACCCTTCCTGTCATGTGCTTGTGCTGAGGCTCGCCTATGTGTTGCTTGTGATCACTATGGGAGAGGCAGAAGGACCATTTCAGACGGCAAACCTCATCAAGGAGGAAATCAGCAGCGCGGTCGCGTACCGACCAGACTCCATGACCGGGCTGAATCGGACATTCCTCTTGCATGAAATGCGAGACTTCGACGATATCGGCTGGTGGATGAAGACTGCGTTGGTTCCAACCATCGATCCAGCGAGTAGTCGAATGGGTGGTGCTGTCAAGATTGCCAGGCCTTCAGCTTTTGCGTTTGCAACTGGCGTCTGTCAATGTGTGCACCAAGCCTTGGCTAAGGTTGGATTTGCAAGGGTGACCCAGATAAAGGGCACCATGGTTGGGTGCGATGGCCTGACGCCAAACCTTAAGCGATTCTATCCGGGCTTCTGCTATCCCCCAGCATCTCCAGACACTCTCGTGCAACTTGCCGGCAGAGTCAGACCCAAAAACGTAGAGGGCTCCACTCTTGCCCGTTACAACTGAGGACCTCCTTTGGGCCTTTCGGTGTTGATGACGCCTACCAGGCCTCCATTTTTGAGCACAATTGGTGTGGGAAGTGATGAAGAAGCATGACAAGCCATCCCAAAGGATGTTGCAGCATAATCATCCAGGATGAATGCCTGGGTGTGTTTGGGCTGACCTTTCGCTTGCAGGCATTGGGTGCTCAACGACAAGTCGGGGAGTTTGAAGCTTGGCTGGACACAGGCATCCGCCCGGGTTAAATGCTGTCTGGTAGGACACTTGAACTGCACTATCGACATGTAAGCTGCATTGGGGATGGCCTCGGCAGGGCTTCATGCCAAGTCTTTGATGTAGCAGCCTCCCTTTAACGTATATATCAGCAAATCTGGATTTGGTCCAGCCATGGCATGCCCGCACACTAATGGTGGCAGATCAAACTGAAAGTCGGTTTCAGTGCTAGCCACACAAACGAAGCAAACACGCTCGATTTGAAGCGTATCTCAAAGCCTGCAAGCCACCCAGCATCCCTAAGGGTCCAGATACCCGAATATTGAGGTTTTAGGTACCCTAAAGCCTTATTATTTGGGTACCTGGACCCTTAGGGCATGATCAGTTGGTCGAAGAACAGTTGCAATAGCTTCATGGCAACCCGAGTGTTCTGGGAGTGCTGCCAAACTGGCTCACTGCCAAGCATGATCAGGCAGGGGATAGATAGACGTGTGGTTCATTGATATACTACACTATACTATGATAATGAAGGGCATTCTTTGCCACAGAGCGCTCACACCCTGAAGCATCTTACGACAAAGAGGACACGAAAAAGCGAAGGCATCCGACCCGAACAGAAAGCCTCGGGCGTGTCTAAATTCGATGCGAACCGTGCTTGGCGCTGCCTGCAGCCACGATGTGGCCAACTCCTGGGTCATCGTTGAAAATATGCTTCAAACAGTATATTGCATTAAAAACTCAATCAAGGACATGAGAGACGTGGAGTTATAGTTTTTTTTCTATCATATCCGAATGTGGGACCGGATTGGGGTGGGCTAGGAGTCAAAATGTAAAATGCGCTTAGGGGCTACCTTTCGGAAGTCCTTCTAAGAGTCAGAATCTGTTGGTTCCATGTTGGCGTCTCTCGGTATGTGCCCTGAGCTCTTTTGGGAACCGTTGGGCAGGTCCCCATCAAGGCCCCCCAGCTAGGAGTTCTGAATGGTTTAGGGTTCAACCCGAAAAAAATCAAAGGTCTCTCCCAAGAATGCCTTCTTGGGGGTCTGTACCACTTGGGCACAACCTAGGAATCTATTGGATAGCCTCAAGCCTTTGGGGGTATTTGCACTCCGCGAACAACTAAAAACATAGCCTTCTTTGGTGGGCCAGGAAACTCGGGCACGTAGAACAAGGTCTCATGCCGCTGTCACGAAATGTTTCTCCCTTCTGGACTTGGTTCCAACTGTTTCTTGAACCCAATGATGAATCCCCCTCAGAAGAATCTCCCGGCAGGTTGAAATGAAATGGTAACAAGTCCTTGCGCCAACAGCCAGTTTAGGGGTACTATCCCCAAATATGGAAAAGAAAATGAAATGGACACTGGGATTATTTATATAGTGTTGGATTTCCCAAAAATAGGGGCACTTTTTGGGGCCCCATGACTGGGATTACAGTATTTTGGGGTTATATTGGGGTCCCCTAGTTTGGGAAACTTCCATATTTGGAGTATATGCCTAAAACGATCTGACCATTGGCTGCAAGACGCGCGTTCGATCACGATGCACGTTGTAATGATCGCTGGCACTTCTTGTTTTCGGAAACACGTGAGTTTTGCTCACTGCTCCGGCGGCGGTTGGCGAGAAGGCAGGACCTGGGAAGCGCGGTTCCACGATGCACGCTTGGGGGGGTTGGGTTCCGAAAGCGAGTTCAGAAAGCACTGTTGTCAAAAGCTTGCGAGCTGTGGCTTGTATGCACATGCTGTGCCCAGCCCGTTCTGGCCGTCTTCCACAAGGTGCGTGCAAAATTCTAACAAGCACGCTGTGGTGAAGCCTCACCTGAAAGTGTTCAGACCTTGTCATGCAGAGGAACGCATGTCTTTGTGTAGAGAAGCTTCCGTGCAACTTTACACGGGATTTCGAGGCACTTGACTACCGGAGTCTACGAGCTCAAGTTTGCAATCAGACGCTCAGGAGTCATTCATGGCCAACATAGACGCAAACAGCTTCACTCGACGGGAACATGCACAGAGTGTAAGCCTGCCTGTCTACTACTGTATGTGGATGCCGTTGCAAGTCTTGTCCACGCCTGCAGCAGGCCGCACGGTGACCGAAGTGCAGTCGCGAATCGACAGTCTAATCAATTATGGCTGGGTCGACAGGCTTACGCGAGCTGGCTGCAATGCCTGTGTCGCGTGTCGCTGTTCTGTTTGCACGAAGCGATGACTTAGGCAGCATGTCACGCTGAATGCCTTCTTCATGAACCTTCAAACGAATGTCTACGTGCGAATGCGGCTGCTTTTAGTGGTTCATAGGGAGGGCCTCATCGAGAGCACTCTGAGCCTGGTCCCAATGAAAGTTGCTTCCCTGCAATCAGCGATATAATGGCATGGCATCATTCTGCAGTAATGTCCCAGCGTTGACCTAGGCAGAGGTGGTCACACATTGGTCGCACATTTTCCTGAACTTGTGCTTTGCGAGGCTTGCCTGCACCGCCTGTAAATGCAGGCGAAGAGTCACTGAGAGCAGGCAAAGACTAGATGGTCTTCAGCTTCTGCTGCAGAGTTCTCCCTTGCATACCCGCGTGATGTTTTCCTATCATCTACATGACTCCATGTCTCCCAATTTGCAGCACCAACTCCAGGAATTTCGCCTCACACAATGCTCTACATGCTCTCATGTTCGGCAGCGCAGTCTCGTCTGCTCATCGCATGTAGAACTCCCTGGAAGTGGAAGCGCTGGACTTGAGTGTTTTCCTATACAATTCCTGCCAAACCTCCAAGGATCCTTCTTACAGTGCAGCTTCTCTGGTTCATGCAGCAGTGCCTCGCGGAATACAAACGGGGTCTTTGGCGACTGCAGCTTTGGATCAAGAACAGTCAGGAACAGTGCTGCCTCAGAAAGGATCTGAAGGTCAAGCAAAGCTCTCGCGCGCAATTGAGGCATTTCTGGGACATTTGGACATGGTTGGACATGGTCTCCATCATGGTGGCCTTAGCTGCTTGACTTCACATATCCAAGAATCCAGGCACGTTCACATCCCTCCTTGCCATGAATGCCATCGAATTCTCAGGTCATTGTATTCATGGCGCTGGCCTTCGTGGTCGACACGCAAAACTTCACAGTGATGGTCTCTGACCTTGGCGATATGCCAACCTGGTCTGTGCTCGAAGCACCCGCAGCTCGCAAAGTGCAGTCCATCCTGCAAAATCGCGGATATCGTAACAAGGCAGGCCTCTATCCCTGTAGCAGTTGCATGCGCAAAGCTTAGTAGCTAACATTTGCAATGTTAGGTGATGGTGTAAGATGTTAGAAGACACTTTGCTTCGTTAGGATGCGCAGATAGGCATTCATCAGAACATGCCGGTTTCATGTGCCCGCAGTGCTCTGAACTCCTGGCCGTCTTTGACAACGTGCTCAGCGTCAGCCTGTGGCTGCGATTCATGACTGCTTGGTACGCAGCTCCCTGTCAAAGAATAGATGGACCGGGCGTGGAAAACTTGTGTTGTCCTTGGTGCCATGCCGATTGCACCAGGTCTGTCTTTGTCTGCGCTTTTATCGTGGATTCACAGGGCAACCGCGCACTTCTGTGATATTGCAGTCCGCGCTGTGGCTGCATCTAATCTTCAAGTGTAATTTGTTCCCTGGATTTGATTCACCATGCAAATGTACCACGACATCAGCTGAGCACCTGGCAGGTGCTGTACATGTCCAATTTGTTCCTTCATTATTTGGCATCTTGGAGAGAATGAGGGCTCGACTGAGCAGAGAAGTCGGTTTGTTCCAGTTGCGGATGGCCAATTGCAGGGGCTGGTGGGCAGGGATCCGTACAAACATAGGGGATAATGGAAAAGAAAATGGAAACCACTACGTGACAAAAGGGGTTTATATAGTTATATTGGGATTATTTGGGGATAACTACTAAACATATTCTGTTCGAGGTGTTTTTTTGCAGGTTGCTATCGGGTCTCTGCTAGGCTCACAGGGCTGTCACCACGGTCATCTAAGAGGCAACATGCTTTTTTGTCTGCTAGAGCCTTTCCCTAAACCTTAAACCGCAAACCCTCGAAATATAGGCGAAACATGGAGGCGAAGCCAGCTGCGCAGCATTCTTGTTCACTTAGGTCGTGTTCTTGGTGGTCTGCGGAAATTTTGCGCTGAGTGGATACATTCTATTTGGGGAGCAGGTGCCTGCTTGGTCCACCTTTGGAGGCAGCGTTATCACTCTGACTCAAGTTATGCTTGGAGAGTTTGATTACGATGCCATGCGAAATGTTGCCCCGATTCTTGCGATGATCTGGTGGTGGAGCTTCTTCCTCTCCACAACAGTGGTACTGTCGAGGGTTTTGACAGCAGCTGTACTACAGCTTTTCTTAGAGGTCCGTCAGGCCCTAGGCGAGCCGGGTATAGGCCTCCCACGACAGATACTGGCAGTCACAAAGAACTTGTGGTACCAGCGATCTTATGAAGGGTCCATGAAGAGCGTGCCCGATGACGACCTCCTCGACATGTTGGCAGCGGACTTAGATCCAGCTCATGTCAAGAAGCTCATGCAGATGAAAACCGACAGGCGCCTGTGCACGCGAGAAGATCTCGCAAAAGCAGAGAAGGACATCAAAGTTGATGTTGATTTCCTGGTGAAGAGAGGCATGGACCCGCTTGGTGCAGAGCGCCTGATCGATCGCACAGCAAACTGGGCGCTGAACATTTCCACGACCACTTCTGCCACAAATCGTCTCATGCTGCTGGTTGCCAAGCAGATGGATTACATCACCAGCGAGGCAGACCGAATTCAGCGTAAGATCCGCACTCGCATTGACCGAGCAGCACAGTCAGCAGATCGCGTTGACGTGAAGCATGCCAAGTGTGCCGCACTGGCCAAGCGCCTCCGACGTGCGCAACAGATACCAGCAGGCTGGACGGCTCACCGTGATGAGAACGGTCGCAGATATCTTCGCCACGAGGAGAGTGGCCTCACATCATGGACCTTGCCTCGAGCTCTTATTTAAGTGGAAATGCGAGCAGCTTTCGTCATGTCAGTGGTGCATTCTCATGGGAACTGCGGCTTCTGCTTGCTCAAGGCAACCAGAACCCGCAAGCAGTTGTGTCACCTGTTGCCTGAGGCAACCGTGTTGCAGGCGCGAGGCATCTCATGATGGGGTGGAAGCCAGCTATGATTCTGTGATTCTATAGTGTCCCCTTAATTAAGTAGATGGAATTAGTGTGGGGATCTTACTATGTATAGGGCAATTCCCTATTCTATCTACTTCATTGGGGCTCTAGACTCTTCGAACAAGGCCCTATTTAGGCTTGAACATTTTGCGCTACACAGGCAGGAATCATGACAGTTGTGTCTCACGATGCCCCAGTACATGGAGCACCAAGCGCAGAGTGCCAACTGAGCTGGCTCCAGAGGTTGAGAAATGGGGGTTTAGGGTGTAGGGTGTAGGGGTATGGAAGGAGTGGTATGGGGTTTGTACTAGGGACTGTATAGGGAGTGCTCAAAGAATCCAGACCCCCATTGTGAATTTACGTTTTGGTAACCCAGGACTCGCGCGACCTGAGGACAAAAGCATGGCTTTTGCCTGTACAGGGGAGTTTCCGGAAATTAGGGGTCCCGACAAGAAGGCTTCCAATATTTTCCAGGTCGATATGAGCTATAGTCTGAAGTCCTAGAATCCCCCTGCATAGCCCCTATGATAGTTCCCTATATAATCCCACATATAACCCCCTTTACGGAGTTTAGACGGGGGGGGCGCCTTTATTATGAAGGCTACCATATCTGTTGCCCACGCTTTGCAGCGAACAGGGTTGTGCATCCCCTAAACCATAACACCAGCTACTGCCAACATCAGGCCTACCAAGGGACCATTGAGGGCGGACGACCGGATACTTTTGGCCTCAAGCATAGTCCTGCAAAGCAAGGGGTTCGGCCTTCTCCGTTGCTCCAGCATCGTCCCGCAAGAGAAGGGATTTACCGGCCATGGCTGTTGCAAATGCAACCATTGGCGGCCGCCCGGACTTGCAGCCGATATACCTGCCGCTGGCGAACACGCCTCCATCGGGGCTCAAGTTCTCAGATCTACTGCTCATGCGGCAACAGGGTTTGGACCCATTGGTCTTTGCAAGTGAGTCTTCCGCGTGGGATAGACTGGGCGCCGCCTCGGGACCGCAAAGGAGTGTCTTCAACACGACGAAAGGGATTCAACCTGGAGCTGAACAGGAGTTTCCGGGAAGGTTTTCCAGGGCTGACACCAGATGGTGGACGAAACTCCAGGAGCAGCTGCTATGTCCGCTTACGCGGTTTCCCATCAGGCTGTTGCCCTATCCGCCTTTCAAGCTACTCGTAGATGTCACGAACCCTGGTCCCCACTTCCTGGTAGATGGCAAGTTCCTTGCGATGAAGTTGATCGTTGACGGCCATCCTGGAGCAGGAATCCGTGAATTAGAGCAATCCGACATCCTTGCGTTGGATGACTACATGCAGCGGTGTAAGCTGGGCCCGTTTCGGCCGGGGACTGCAAATGCTCTGCAGGAGGAAGTGCGAACAGCCCAAAAAGAGTGCGATCGGATTCGAGCAGCACTGGAACTCAAGAAAATGCAGCAGAAGACAAGCGCAGAGCTTGCCAAGCTACGTCGCATTCAGGACAACCGCCTGTCTCAGATTAAGACCGGGCAGAAGGCCAAACTACTCCCTGGACCTTTGGCAGAAAGACAGGCGACTGGAAAATTTCAGCAAGACGCAGGCAGCCAGATCGGTCCAATGCGGTCAGGGGCTTACCTCGCAGAGGATGCCTTTCTCTCCGGGATTGTCGGCGAGCTCGAGCTGAGGGGTGCACACTTTGCAGGTCGCTTACAGCTATAGGAAGTCAAGGGTGTAGGATGTAGGGGTTTGATGGTTAAAATGATGTCAGGAATTATCTTGGCCACTTTCAACATGCCGGATCCTTCTTGAGAGACCTGCGGAACACAATATCCTGTGAACCATGAAGAGCGGTGAGTGACCGTGAGCTACAGGCCTTGCGCGATTTTGGTCTCAGGCTTCATGGTTTTTGAAGTGGTGAGTAACAGCCAAAAGTTTACTTCTAAAGTAACAAAAGGCGTGCTGCGCTCCGCTCGAAGAGAGCGGGGATGGAACCGGTCACCATTGCACTGCTCAGAGGGGTCTGGCCCATTTCTTTGGGATGTTCCAGGAGGAAGGACCCTCGAATTGGGGATATCCATGAGGCATGCGGACAGTTTGCTCAAGACAAGGCCCAACACTTTATCCATGGGCTAAGCCTGTGGCTTGTGTCTTGCGAAGCTGCCATCTTTCGGGGGCTGCCGCCAAGGAGGTCAATGCCGGAATGGTTTTACGTAGTGTAGGGGCCTAAATAGTTACAGTACCAATATTCCGATGAAGCCTGAACCCCAAATCCGTGGCATCCAGGCTTTGACCTAGCTCACACTGCTCTTTTTGAGTGCGCCCACCGTTGTTCAGCTGGATGCATGGCAATTCGGTTAGCCTTAGGGTCCACTTCAAGGGGAAGTTCAGGGATTAGGGTTTAGGGTTGATGGATTGGGTTCCTGAGTTGCCAATGTTGATGGTGCTTTCGGGCAGCACTCTTCCACGCCCATGCTGGCAGAAAGTTGAAAGTTTTGCAGCAGCATGGGCGTTTGTGGCAAAAGGCGCCGGCGTCGTGCGGGCCTAGCCATTGCAAACCTTCGTTGCGGAAACGCAAGGTTGAACGTTGCCCCATCACGCGAAGCGCCATGACTTGTAGATATCCGCCTGTGTCTTGTGAGCAGGGGCGAGGGGAGTCACAAAGTGAGGCGGCGCTTAGGCTATGCCGCCATTCCTGCATTCTGCCTAAGGACATGGATGAGAAAGTTAATCCCCTTGGGTCCGTCAGGACGTGCCGATTTTGAGAAACGCCTCAAATGTGATCGCTAAACACAGGAGCAGCAGGTCGCAATACACTTAGCCGAAAGTGTGCTTTACTGGTGCCTGAGGGAGAGTGGGGGAGCTAATATGAAGGTTTTGAGTACAGGGATTATTATATGGGGATCTATCTGCTTCCCCACCTCTCCCCGCAAAGCACCAGTAAGTCTTCAGCCAGAGCCTGCTTCTTCGCCTGGGGTAGCTGATTACTATCATTCTTATTGTAGGGTTTGGGGGTTTAGGGTTTAGTTTGGGGGTTAGTTTGGTTCAGGGTTAGGTTATCAATATTACTTAGTGGTACCGTTCTCATGTTGTTCTTGTTGTTGTACTTTCAACCCTAAGCCCAATCGTTATTATTATTAGTATTAATATTATTGATGGACACTGATGTGAGTGCCAACACTGCACGCGCTTTCCGAGCCACTGAGGTTTGCTTGTCAAATACGCGTGCGCTACATGAATTCTGCTACTTGCAGCGCTATGCGAAGAGGACTTTGGCGCAGTGGCCAGGAATGCGCGCGCGCCGCACAGCCCACCGCGACCCAGACCCCTGGAAGGATCTGGAAAGTAGAACCCGCTTGAGGGTGCCTAGAAAATGGGGTTTAGTGTTTAGGGGTTGGGGTTAGAAGTCATCTTGCAGTCATATAGGGTATCATATTAGGGACTCTACTTGATTCTAGATCCTCCCAGGCATCTGGGTAGGTCCATACAGACCCAGACGTTACCAGACTTTGTCTGTCAATGAGCAAGTTTCGGAAGTGGAGGTAAAACCTAAGGGGCCTTTTTGTGGGGTCCTTATGAAAAGGATGATTGAGCATTGTCAGACAGACTGGGACCATCTGGGACCGCTGTTTTGCCCAAATTGACCATCGCAGTCGCAAGAAACTGCATGTGAGCATGCTGTTGTGCTTGCGTCGATCTGCAGTCCTTGGCATTCACCCATTTTTTTTTAGTCTTGGCTGCAGCTCATCGTTGTTAGTGTAGTGTTAGGCCATGAGCAAAGGGCAATCCGGTGCCAGCTGCCGAGCGACGTTGGCGTGCATGCAGATAAGTTTTGCAAACTCGTGGGATCAAGTTCCAAGCTTGTCGCTCAACTTGAAGGTCTCCCTGCCCTACACGAAGCTGAAGTTTATGCAGGGATAGCTGTTGTTCGTGTTGTTCGTCCAATAGGTTGGGGCAAAGTGAAAAGGGGGTGAGACGTGCGAAGTCTGGCAGCTACCGCCAGGCAAAGGACTTCCGCTTTCCTCATACTGGTTTTTGTGAAGTGCACTGGTTAATCCTCACCAAATCCTGGAAGCTATGTCTCCTCACCGGAGTCCCCTGAATGGGGCGGAAGTCCTGGAAATTACAGCTGTGCTGAACAGAGCCTGGCTTTTCACGAGGCGAAAGGCAGGCCGGGTCAGTCATGTCAGGATCCAAAGAGCATACTGTGCATCGGTATCAAACAGCAGCTGACAGATTGGGTTGCAAGTGCCCAGACAATGTGCATGTTGTAGCTGGACAGAAGAGGACACGTGTTGACGTGCCTGCGCTGCTGTGCGATGCGCGTGTCCGAACCCCAAACCCTAAACCCCTTAACCCTAAACCCTAAAACCCCTAAACCCTGCTCACGTTGATGTGCACCTCTAAGGCTGCAGCTTCAGTGTGGCTCTTCTTCCGCATGAGGCATGGGTTTAGGGTTTTTAGGGTTATATAAGGGTTATTATTGGGGGCCAACAGGGATAATGGAAAAGAAAATAGATACTATATAGGGTTTAGGGTTTGGAGTTCATCCGGCCCAGCTACACCAAGATGGTGCAAAGCCAGCTTTGCAGTAATGCCAGAGAAGCACTTTGGAGGTCATATTATTATTGCCATAAGTATTAGCACTACAATTATTACTAGTATTGCAGACATTCAAGTTGGTGCACTTCTGCCTGTTAATCGTTACTTGCCGATGCCAAATTCGCAGCCGTGCTAGGCGGCGGAAGCACCCAGGAAGCTTCGACGGCTTCGATGGAGTCTCAAGGCGGTCCCCTACAGATGTGCATGACTTGCTGCTTGTAAGTAGCAAGGAGGGAAACAGGAAATGAAAACTACTACATAACT